GAAGTATGCCCGAAGGTCCTCGGACATCTGCACACCCTCGGCCAAGTCCAGCAAGTCGTTCCAGTCCTTCTTGCGCTGGCGAAGGTAGGAGTCCACGCTCTGCCCCTTTTTGCGGTAGCATCTTTCAAAGAACTGGTCGAAGGCCTCCGTCTTCTTGATCACCCCGACGCGCTCTATGCTTTGCAAGGCAGCGAATATATACTTGTACCCGGCCGGCTCGCGAAGCTTCTGGTGATCGGTGAGAAGCTCCTCGCAAGCCCTCCACGCTTCTCCATGAAGAGCATCCATGAGCCGCTTGCCAAAACGCTGTTGCTTCCGAAGCAGGTCCTTCTTCTGCTTCTCTTCATCGTCACCTGAGCCCTCCAGGTTGCCGTAGGCGAAGAGCACCCGCTTCCTGTATTCCTTCATCAGGTGAGGGTTGGCCCCGGTATAGTGGGGAACGCCGTCGCGGTCGACGGTCGCTTCGTCGTCTCGCAAACACACTACTCAAGGAAGGAGCGCAAGCGTCGCTTTCGGGCACTGATCTACGGGTACCGGTTTCGTGCCATTTAGGCACTCGTCAGCCATACAACTGCGGTAAGCAGCTGTTGATCAGTGTTAGCCTGGACATTGTGCGGCTACTTTTTATGTGCATGCACATAAAAAGCCCACCCAGCCCTCACCCCGGTACGAAGTTGTACCGGTAGGTTTGCCGGAAAAGACTGAAAGAACATTTCCATGCCACTGTCAACGTAGCCTCAGGCAGTGTTGACTGTTTATACGCTTCAAAACGTGACAACCTAGCTTTCAGCATGTTCCATGCTTTTTGGAGTCCAAGCCGTTTGGTCACGTTACTGTACTCGAGCTTGCAGACAATACAGTTCACTGAAGAGGTCGACGGGATTTCAGGTTCACACCGAAGATGCCGATTTCGAAGCTTGTGTAACAAAGTCATCCGACGATCCACATCGTAAGTAGCCTGTGAAAGCCGTGATTCTGGATGCAATCTGTTTGCGAGCTGTCGTCGCATAGATTCCACGTCGTCAAGAAAACCAGACTCCGTGCTGTTCAATATCAGAAATCTCGCGACTTGACTCTTGAAGATATGTTTCCGACATGGCAAAGGATGCTCACTGTACGCATGAAGATACTGTGGATTGTGCTGTGGCTTGCGGTACACGAAGGTGTTCAACTGCTGACCGTCATACCTGATGGAAAGATCCAAGAAATCGAGTCGAGAAAATGACACTTTGAAAGTCCATTTGAACTGCTCGGCGTCAACGCGCTGAAGAGCTGACAAGAAAGACTGAACAGTAGCCTGATTTCCAAGGAAAATACTGGCGGTGTCGTCGACATAACCATAATACTTGGATAGTAGTCCAGTTTCAAAAGCCTGACTCACGAGAGGTCTGAAATGATGTTCTCGGTGTATGTTTGCAGCATCGGTAGCTATGCGCTCACCAATACTTAAAGACCGCGCTTTCTTGTAGACCTTGCCATTGATGAACACCGCTTTGTTGTGTAGGATGATGAGGACTAGCTTCGCAACAAAGTCCTTGGCAGCCTGATTCACGCCGTAGTAGTTATCCAATCCAGAACAGAGCGAAACCTGCAATGAATCCAAGTTTATGCGTGGGTAGAAATCTTCCAAATCGGCAGCTACAAAGACCAACTGATGAGTATCATGTCCGAGTGGAGGTGGATGGTCCAGTAAATCCAACAAGACTTGTTTCGAGTCCATGACCGTTGTCTCGCAAATGCAAATTACCTTTCGCAAAATGCTGGAAACGAAGATCGTCAGATTGTTGAAGGGGGACCGCGTATCAACCTCGACTCGACGTAACTTGCATCCTGGTTTGTGTAGCTTCACGAGATATCGGATTTTGCCCAGGCATGTCAAAACTGCAGGTAATGAAGCTCTGCTTGGATTGGGGAATCCCAGATCGCGGAGTGGCTGTAGAATAAAGTTCATCGTCCCAACATCAATCAAGTGGTTCTGAATAGCACGATCACAAAGGGATCGCAAAAGGTCATATGCTGAAATCAAAGACCACATGAGCTCGTTGCTTGAAACTTCGGTGAAGGCACCATCGACGGTTTCCCGAAGATATTGTTTGCGAAGATAACCTGCAGAAATGTAAACAGGACCATATCCTTTGTCTGCTGAGATCTTGCAAACAGAGCTTCTGTTAGCTTGAAGCCAGCTAAGAGTTTTTTTGATATAGAACGGCATTGTGGGCTGCGGCTCCCAGGATTGGAGGCTGCTGGCCTTTGACAATAAACCCTCGCACCATGACTCCAATTCTTGCTCGATCTCTGCATTCAGCTTCGGGTTGAAAGATGAAGGCAATCGGAACCTCTTGAAGAAAGGAGTGTGGTTCTGCTGCTTGTTGGGCTTGCTGTCGAAGAAAAGCCGTAGTTTGACTTTGCGCACAAGTTCTCGGACTGATGACTGGAAAGATGCACGGCAATACCGCGCCAAAGGAATGAATTTGTCTCCAAGGACGAGCAGAGTTTGGGCTGCTGGAGGAAAAGTCTCTGGATCAATATCTGTATGATGCAAAGAAACGAACTTCCGAATCAAAACCAGATCAACCAAGGTCAGCTGCTGTACATACTCAAAGAAAAGAGCTGCAAGGTTGCGGGGCGATTCACGCTGTACATGGGGTGTAGCTTTGCTTTGGTGTCCGCGGCGTTTGTTGCCAAAATGGCAACGGCGGAGATTTCGAAGGTTCATGTACATGTCACGCGGCTTGCATTGCTGCGGCTGCTGTTCCTGCTGCCGTGCTGCGACTGCCTGCTTTTGCTGCGGGATGTGTGGCGGCTGAAGCTGCGGTGGCTTGTCATAGATTTCGCGGAACTTTTTGACTGCCTTGATTTTGAATCTCGGTTGGCTGAAACTTGCCGCTGCGAGCTGGATCGTCCTCTCGTAGAAGATGTCTTTGCGTCTTGTCGCGATGCTTTGGAACTTGTTCTCATCTGCGCTTGCCGACGGTGAGCTGAAGCGGACCTTGCGGGTGCTTGATTCTTTCTGCTGGTGCTTCTGTTTGTTTTGCCTTTGCTCCGAGCTCGACTGGGAGTATTGTGCTTGTGTTTGGATGCTGCGCTGTTGCTGCGACGATTTTTTTTCTGATCGCTTTTTGAACCAGAGCCAACCATGTTGCCCTTCACCTTGGACTTGCTCTGCTGGAAAATCTTCGTCATCCTTGAGTCCAGGTGGGCCAAGCCGTTTTTTTGCAAATCGGACTTCATGTTGTAGACCTGGTCCTCGAGCATCGTCAACTGCTGTCCGCGCCTAACACGACGATATTCTTGCTCCATTTGCTCTTTCGTGGCTAAACATACAGAAATCAAACGCTCCTCCATTTCTCGGAAGAAAACCGCTAAAGCAACCTTTGGGTACGCCTGAATAAGTTCATCGAATTTGTGTTCGCGATCGGCACGTTTCTTGTCGGAGTCCTCCTTGTTCTTGCTTCGATCTGTATACTTCTTCGCCGCCTTGTTCATGTATTCTGGTAAGCTGGCAGAAAGAATGCAAACCACATGAGCTCTCATCCTCTGCATGTCGTTCTGGTTCATGCGCATTTGATTTTCAAGCATCTTGTCATAGAACTCGCCGAGCTTCGCGCGAATAAAAGTCAAAGTTTCCAGATCCTTAGCTTTCAAAGCAACCCATTGTTTTGTTGCATCGATTTTGCGCTTAAAGTCTTCCATGGCCTTCTTGTCGTCAGCCTGCTTTTGGGCTGCATCGAATTCGTCTTTCATCTCTTTCTTGAACTGCTGACCCGATCTGTGCTGCAGTGGCTTCGGCCATTTGCCTTGTGCATACATTGCAGCATCCGCCTTGAGAGTTTGGAGGGCCCTGTGTAGGCCGTCGCATTCGCCATGATATGTCTTGCTGGTTCTGTCTATAAACTCGGGCACCATGTCTTTGAAAATGCCATCCTTGATGAATTCATCTGCCCGGCCCATAAGACGGATGGTGTCGAGCGAGACGTCTGTGAACTCAGATCTCGTCAAAGGCAATGCTGGCTCAAAACTCAAATCATTGATCAGCTTGTTAACTTCTGCCAAAAGTGGATCCATTTCGGTATCAACTTGTTGGTTTTGCACTTGCATAGGGTCAAGCAGTGCAGGATTGTTCGAAGGTGCCCTGGCATGTGAAGCTATAGCTTCGCGAAAATCTTCATTTGGAGCTGGAATACTCTGAACAGGATATGGGGCTGGACGAGCTTGTAACGAAGATGCACGTTGGAACGATGAACCACGCGGCACTGAAGATCGACCATCAAACAACGGATGTTCTCCACCTTGATCCCCCAATGCGGTACGCACGCCTTCCGAAACGTTCCCCTGTGCTAAAGAAACACCATGGGGAAAGCCAGCTGAACCAGACAGAAAAGCCATGGCCAAGCTACAACGTGCGTCAACACACTACTCAAGGAAGGAGCGCAAGCGTCGCTTTCGGGCACTGATCTACGGGTACCGGTTTCGTGCCATTTAGGCACTCGTCAGCCATACAACTGCGGTAAGCAGCTGTTGATCAGTGTTAGCCTGGACATTGTGCTGTTACTTTTTATGTGCATGCACATAAAAAGTAGCAGCACAATGAAGGGCTTCCCAGCATCAGCGGCCATGACCGTCAGCACAAAGCTCCGCTACCAGTGCGGATCGCACTGGCAGCAGCTGACAGCACACTTTTACGCCAACTCGCAAAGAACACAAGTATGTGAATTCTGTCTCTGGGTGCATGCTCTGTTTAACAGTGCAAGCAGGCCTAGGCATCCCTTGGCGAGCGAACATGTGCACACCGTCTGTGTTCTGGGCCGACTGCAGACGCCGGCACATTCACACATGAAAGCACATGCTCAGACCAACTCAGGCTGTAGACTCAGGGCTGGCTTCACAGTTCCCTTTAAAACTCGGAACCTCTCCCCTAGAAACTCTGAACCCTAAACCCCTAAACCCTAAACCCATTCTGGAGTTCCCTTTAAGACCCTCTCAGCTTTGTGTGCTCGGGCCTGGGACCCTCCATGCGGGCCATCGCCAGCAAGTGCTGCATCTCCAGTCGCCTCCCGTCGGATCCAAGACCGCTCTTCACCCACCTTCGGCGAAAAGACTCGGAAGCTCAGAAGCTCAGCAGAAGTCATGAAAAGTCCTAGGTCCTAGGTCTTCTTTGGGTGCTTATGGTGCTTTGTGTTTGCAGGTCGCGAGGTGTTTTTGGGTCGGGCCTCCAGTCAACGTTGATTGAAACAGGACAGGCTTCCGTTTCAAACTGAGGAACATTACTTGCTCACGCATGTGTCTGAAGGCACACAGCACCCTTTCCGAGTTTAATGCCTCCTGCTGAGTGGCCGAGACGGAGCGGAACTCTGCAACATCAGCAACAAGATTCTATCACCGAAGACCCCACACTGTCGAAGCCACATAACCTAGCAACAGGTCGAATCAGGTCTTCGTTTGACGAAAGCTCCGCATGCTCCGCTGAAACTATCTGCTGCGGGAAAGTGCGAAGCCGTTTAAAATCAAAGGGCTTCAGAATTGTCTTGGCAATCTCAGAACAATCAGCAGCGTCGGAACGCGTTGGCATTATGTTACCCACAGGACGCTCGATTGAAAGTCGAAAATAGAGTCATGCTTCCCACAAGCATTTGCATTTTGTTTCGACTCCTGCAAGTGCAGAAATAAATCCAACTCCTCAAGTTTAAACACATTTCGGCCGGTTGCCAAACCATTTTCTGCTTGCCCCCGGGCACCGGCCCGGGAAGCTGCCTGCGGTCCCACTGCCGTGGGCCTTGGCGGCGGTTGTAAAACGGGGTTGGTGGCGGTCGCGGGACCTGGCCCCGGCCGCGGCACTGCAAAACTAGGCCAAATGACTTTAGTGACTTTCGACTACATTCAAAAGGAAATTTCCAATGTTTGGGAGGGTTTTGCATATGGTGCCTCAGGCCCTCAGGCAGGCAAGAATAAATTTCAATGGCTTCGAGGCAGAGTGGCGCAGGGATGGAAACCATGCAGCTAAGGAGCATTCTTGTTTGAGCTTCGGTTTGATGAAAAAGCAAAGCTGACATGTGTGCGTCCCTATTACCACGACCGAGTGGTGCCGGAGTCATGGAAGGCTTGCCCCCTGGTAGTTCACCTCCCAAAGTTTGGCCATAGGTGAAGCACCGAGGAAGAATGCCAGGACAAGGACGGAACCACGGGGCAAAAGGTCTCTTGTGAAGCCTGCGGATGGACCGCTTAACGATTTCCAGTCTCAGCAAGGCCAGGAGGCCTAAGCTAAGATCAAGAGGTTTTCCAGCCAGACAGCAGCTGTGGCGCGGACAGCAGGCAATGCAAGCACTGTGCACATCTCATGGACATGTTGACTACCCCTTACTGACCAGCCTGAGCACGAACACTCCTCGAAGCAATGATCTGCAACAAGTACTTGACCGGTTGCCAAGGCGATTGATCTTCATGAGCGAAAAGAACAAAGGAGGTCAGGTGAGACCCCCTTGGATCACAGGCAAGAGAGCCGAAACAAGATGCCGAGTACTGCGAGCACAGCGGAGACAAGGGACACCAAGTCCAGCACTCGCCATGTCTACGGTTGATGATATAAATCCTGCATTACCTTAAGGACCCTAAACTATGGGATTTATGGTACATTCCTTACTATGGGTAATGCAGGATTTATATCATCAACCGTATGGAAGCTTGGCATGCTGCTCGGTTGCTAGCGAAATACAGAACTGAGCAATACCAGAGGTAAGACCACGAAACAAAAACATTAGAAACTTTCCACCACGTAGATACCAGGAAACGGCATCTTCGGGTAAAAGATTTGTGCAGAAACATTCCTACTAAATGATGATCAAATGTACAGCTGCTATGAACAATGCAGCCTTAAGCATGTAGACCCCCTCAGTCCTGCAGTTGTCTAGACGATGTCAAAGGCCTTCCCCCAAACCAGATTGCTAACACCATTGCTGCAAGATGATGAAGGCTGCGTGCTTCCTTTGAAGCACTCGCTCGATTAGGGCTCCAACCTCCGTAGTCGGTGAACATGACGACCGCGACCAAAGTGACCTCCGCCTTGGCGGTGCCGTCTCTACTGGTTCGCTGCTTGTGCTCCGCCATTTCTCTCTTGTCATCTGGTGCTTGACTGCGCGGATCACCGGCACTCCGAGCGAATGTGGGAACGTCAGCTGTTGGGTTGCGGTCCAAGGTGGACAGGTCGCCCAGCGCTGCGAGAATTTTCCGGAATAACAAGGAAAACCCGCGGGAACCACCAAAATCCAACCGAGCCTTCAGACTTCAAAGAGCAACCTAGGGCCCACCAGTCCTATGTTGCAAATCCCCAAACGTAGACCCCACGCGCCGGGCGACGGCCATGACGCTGCTGACCCCGCCGCTGGCCTGGCACGGAGGAGCCGAGAGAAATTGCAGGGCAAGAGGGTTCAGGATTGTCGGGTTCGAAGGCTGATGCTAGGATTTGGGCTTCAAGGGTTTGAGTCTTCGCGATTGGGTCCGAACTTTCGAGTTGCCTCATGCGGACGGCCCCGTCAATGTCCGAGATTTCGAATCCGCTTTCACATTGTGTGTGTCAAGCTGGGAGTTTCCGAAAACAGGGGTACCTTATTTAGGTGTCCTTATAATAAGGATCCTACTATTTCAGCACTCACACTCGGACATACCACGGCGAGGATCCTACTATTTAGGGTCCTATATTAGGGTCCCCTATTATCGGAAACTCCCAGCTTGCTACACCCGTTTTGGAAGCACATCGGACGCTGTGTGGGGTCAAGCGGTCCTGTGGCCAGCTCATAGCAAAAGTGCATGGCACCAAATAGCACCAACCTACATGTCAAACGCCTTTTTCAGGACGGGGGAATCTGAGAAAACTTCGAAGGGTTCCTGCGAAGTAAGCACATGCCGGCACAGCCGGTGCCCCGCGGCCGGGAGTAATAGCCTCGACCTCGCTTTGCTGCTTTGCTCTGGGGGCTTAGCAAACTTCTGCACGCGAAATCTCCAGTCCCCTGATCCCCGCCTGGATCCCTCGAGTTGGTAGGGTCAGATGGCGGACTCTCCTGGAATTCTGTCGTCGATCTTGGAGACACAACTGCTGCAACCGAGGTGGTGGATGCAGCCCTTGTCGAGGTGACCCCCATCGTTGTCGAGGTGCTAGGAATCGTTGTGGAGGTGCTAGGTGCCATCGTTGACGAGGTGGTAGATTCACCTGTTGCCGAGGTAGCCGTTGTCGAGGCGGTAAATTCACCTGTTGTCGAGGCGGTCGCAGCCGTTGTCGAGCTGGTAGATGGAATCGCTGTCGAGGTGGTGACCGTCGTTGATGTGGCAGGCTTCGTCCTTTCATCCGAGCCGTATAGCCAGCTTTGGCCAGCAACACCTTTGCAACACATCGCACAGTAAAGATTCAGACGCCAAGAAATGTGTGTCAGCATTCCCACATTTTCTATCTTTTTCTCTGCCAGCTCCGAAAGCCCGGCAAGATCCGGCATCAAGGAAGTCCTATGCCTATTACGGTAGCCTACACGGCACGAAACTTTCGGTGTGCATCTGCGAGGGTCAAAAGGGCAGCTGCAGGAAAGGTGCAATTGGTATAGTCGCCGCAGCGAAAAGGGCACGCACCGCAACTCTCGCAGGTAACGTTAGCTTCCTTATTGCGGACACGGCGAGTGCAGACATGCTTGCGAAGTTTCATTCAACAAAGGGCAAAAGCTCCATCAACCCTTACTCAAACCATCCCCCAATTCAAGAGCTTGTGCTGCACATGACGCCGCTCTCTTCATCTGCTTCGGATATGACCCCCCACAAGGATCGATTGCAGCTACTGCTTGGATTCAAAGACCAGAGCCACAGTGCAACCTGCTAGCCATCAGCTCAGACTCGTCGTCGCAGTCCCGGCAATCACAAACGTTGTCATTCTGGAAAACCTCTGCAAAGTGCCCCGAAACCACTCGGAACCGCCAGTTGGGATTCCCAGCAGCTAGCTAGCATAATCTGAAACATTCCTCTGGCAGGCCTGTACTAGCAATGTTCGTATTACAACAACTACTGTGTTTCTAGTGTACATACTCGTCGTTGTGATTACGGTATGCACTACTAACACTACTATCGTATTCAGTTTAATACAGTCGTACTAGTACCATCACGCTTACTATACTGTTACACGCATTGGGATTATTGCTACTATTGCTGCTACTGCTCTTCTTAGTAC